ATAACGTTCCCTTCCCCTGGCACGCCCTCATAACGTTCCCTTCCCCTGACACGCCCTCATAACGTTCCCTTCCCCTGACACACCCTCATAACGTTCCCTTCCCCTGACACGCCCTCATAACGTTCCCTTCCCCTGACACGCCCTCATAACGTTCCCTTCCCCTGACACCCTCATAACGTTCCCTTCCCCTGACACGCCCTCATAACGTTCCCTTCCCCTGACACCCTCATAACGTTCCCTTCCCCTGACACGCCCTCATAACGTTCCCTTCCCCTGACACCCTCATAACGTTCCCTTCCCCTGACACGCCCTCATAACGTTCCCTTCCCCTGACACGCCCTCATAACGTTCCCTTCCCCTGGCACGCCCTCATAACGTTCCCTTCCCCTGACACCCTCATAACGTTCCCTTCCCCTGACACACCCTCATAACGTTCCCTTCCCCTGGCACGCCCTCATAACGTTCCCTTCCCCTGACACGCCCTCATAACGTTCCCTTCCCCTGACACACCCTCATAACGTTCCCTTCCCCTGACACGCCCTCATAACGTTCCCTTCCCCTGACACGCCCTCATAACGTTCCCTTCCCCTGACACCCTCATAACGTTCCCTTCCCCTGACACGCCCTCATAACGTTCCCTTCCCCTGACACCCTCATAACGTTCCCTTCCCCTGACACGCCCTCATAACGTTCCCTTCCCCTGACACCCTCATAACGTTCCCTTCCCCTGACACGCCCTCATAACGTTCCCTTCCCCTGACACCCTCATAACGTTCCCTTCCCCTGACACACCCTCATAACGTTCCCTTCCCTGGCACGCCCTCATAACGTTCCCTTCCCCTGACACGCCCTCATAACGTTCCCTTCCCCTGACACACCCTCATAACGTTCCCTTCCCCTGACACGCCCTCATAACGTTCCCTTCCCCTGACACGCCCTCATAACGTTCCCTTCCCCTGACACCCTCATAACGTTCCCTTCCCCTGACACGCCCTCATAACGTTCCCTTCCCCTGACACCCTCATAACGTTCCCTTCCCCTGACACGCCCTCATAACGTTCCCTTCCCCTGACACCCTCATAACGTTCCCTTCCCCTGACACGCCCTCATAACGTTCCCTTCCCCTGACACGCCCTCATAACGTTCCCTTCCCCTGACATTTACCTGGATACCACCTACCTACCTTACACTTACTAGTTGATGAGAACATCAGGTATAACGTCTCATTTGACAATAATCTTATGAGATTTCCAACGTTGGTTTCTGAACGTTCCCTCTAAACGTAAGAACAATACTTTTTGTGTAAAGCGTATATTTAACCTCAAATAAGCTAGTTAAAAAGATGCGGCCTCGACATGTTCGGCAACGCGGTTAACGAGCAGCACTACGAGACGTTGAAATGTGCACGAGTGTCACAGTGGTGCAACATCTGTTGCAGGGAGAGAGGGGGAGTGTGCATGCCGATGGTAAGACAACAGAAGACTTCAGCGGCATACTGGGAAAGTCCAGTTTGATAGCACCACAACACCCTTACCCCAACTATCCATCCAGTTCTCCTCCCTTCCCTCCCTCAGTCATCTCTCCTATACACAAGTGTAGATTGCGTGGATAATGGCACTGGCGGGACGGTCTGGGATGTCATAAGTTTCATTTTGACCTGTCATGATTGTATTAGTGCCTCTCCCTCTACCACATATCTCCTTTTCTCAGCATGTAACTAACTACAGTTCTTATGGAAGAAAGCCTTCTGTTTGACGATATCCTCATCACTCAGCTCGCCCACTTAACTACAAACAATGGCACTGTTGAAAAACAGTCAAATGTGTGACTGTTTAAGTCACCTTATATTGCTGAAGCCTCGCGCTCTGGCTGCCCGCTTTCTTTGAGTCACGTTTTATGTTATCGCCATTTATATTTATAGTTTTTTCCTTTGTGGTATATTATAATTTAGTATTTTTTATGGATTTTGCCTGATGAAGTAACAGGAAACGCCCTGTGTGATGGAATATGACAAGAGCCCATCCTATGTGACGGAATATGACAAGAGCCCATCATGTGACGGAATATGGCAGGAGCCTATCCTATGTGACGGAATATGGCAGGAGCCTATCCTATGTGATGGAATATGGCAGGAGCCTATCCTATGTGACGGAATATGGCAGGAGCCTATCCTATGTGACGGAATATGACAAGAGCCCATCCTATGTGATGGAATATGACAAGAGCCCATCCTATGTGACGGAATATGGCAGGAGCTATGTGATGTAGTTTGACATGAAACAGCTTGTTCCACAATATAGTTTTCACATAGAACAGGGAGTCCATGCACTGCGGATGTACGGAAAATTTCTAGAGGGTTTATGTTAAGTTAGTTTATTTTACAAAGTAAGAGCTATGATCCTATTTCAGCTCTACTTTACAAAGCAACAGCTGCTATCTTCAGCTCATTGTATTACAAGTCAAAGGAGTATTATTCCACCTCGGCTAACGTCAAAACCTGGCCCTTAGCAATATCATTAGGATATAATTAAATTTCACGTGTGTTCTTTATATATTATGCACCACGGATACACGAAACGTACAAAGGTTTTAGCGCTTATTTATGTTTATAGGTATATAGTGTACAATACTTGAGTATTGTACACTGTGAATAATATGACACTTGTCTGACACAGCAACACTTGGTATCTTGGTACAAGGCAGGTCTTCTGCAACTCCTTTGCAAAACAGTTGTTTAGCATGACCTACTCCCACTCGTGGGCCACGCTCACTTGTGACATCAACTCCAGCTGCTTCATCTCACCTCTAGTTTGACTAATCGCGTGCTTATGTTTTAGGCTTCAGGGACTGACCACCTTCCACTGAGGGTGATGGACTGATCACGTCAAAAGTAATTCTACTGCTTGTAGTATTATATTCACATGTACTCGACTGAATAAGCCTGTTTTACAGGAGTAATGTTTCAATAATATAAGATACCGAAGTGTTGCAAAAGTGTCTTATCAAGCCATTGCCTTGATGAAGCTCAACCTAGAACGACATAGTGTCTAAATAAGACGCGTAGGAACCTGTCTCATATACGAGTCGGTCAAAGAATGAATGTGCATTATTGTAGCCTTGTACATAGTAGTGTGGCAGTAAGGCGCTCCTCAAAACCTATAGAGCTGTATGACCCTAGTGGGTTTAGCGCTTCATTTTGAGTATAATGAACCCTATATAGCATCTTTCCTGACTCCTTGCCTCCAGGGTCTTATCGTGTCTATTCTTTACACTGTGTGTAGGTTTACCTCTGCCAACTCTTCATCTAGTGCATTCCCGTTACTGCACTAAAACTGAAAAATATAACAACTGAGCATTCCTGTGGCTCATCTGTGTTTTGAGCTGTTAATAGTGTTCCCAGGCTTCCTCTTCGCATCTTAGCCTATATATTTTGCACTGTATAATTTTCCTGAGTACTTTGTATGTCACGATCATGTCCTCCCTGGGCCTTTTTTCTGGTAGATTAAATTCATCAAGTCTCGCTTCAGGGTTCCATCCCCTTCCCTCAGTTCCGGTACCAGTCGTATTGAGAAACTTTTTATATTTTAGTTTGTATGCTTGACCAAGTGCGGGCTATTATATCAAACTTTTTTGGTAAGGTAAGATTTCTTTGGACTTTTAACCCCGGGGAGGGTTAGCCACCCAAGAAAGTCAGTGCGTCATCGAGGACTGTCTTATTTCCATTGAGGTCCTTGAATTCTGTCCCCCAGGATGCGACCCACAACAGTCGACTAACACACGTGACAGCAGGTGTAAGGAAATATGCCCAATGTTTCCATCCGTGCCGTGAACTGCTAACGCTCAGTATGATTTGAGTGCGTTATCAGTCGAACCACGGGACAACCTTTGATTTTAAATAGGGTGGTAAACCTGCTATCATATCTTGTGTGATATTGTTTACCGAGTGGAATGGTTAGCCAGCGGGAGGTTCGTCAGGTGACCAAATTTTCACGGGAGTCGAAATGTGGCTGAGAACCAAGTCAGGATGCCCCCCCATCCCCAGTTTTTGACAAAATACCACGGTTATCAGATGTCGGGTCTGTATGCTCCAAAGAGCCTATTGTGTGATGTGTATAATGTTCTAAGTGAATCATTGTTACCTGGATACCTGGAGGTTACCTGGAGGTTATTCCGGGGATCAACGCCCCCGCGGCCCGGTCCATGACCAGGCCTCCCGATGGATCAGGGCCTGATCAACTAGGCTGTTACTGCTGGCCGCACGCAGTCCGACGTACGAGCCACAGCCCGGCTGATCCGGCACTGACTTTAGGTATCTGTCCAGCTCTCTCTTGAAGGCAGCCAGGGGTTTATTGGCAATTCCCCTAATGCTTGATGAGAGGCTGTTGAACAGTTTTGGGCCCCGGACACTTATGGTGTTTTCTCTTAGTGTACCAATGGCGCCCCTACTTTTTATTGGCGGCATTTTGCATCGCCTGCCCAGTCTTTTACTTTCGTAGGGAGTGATTTCTGTGTGCAGATTTGGGACCATTCCTTCCAAGATTTTCCAAGGTAAATCATAGGTTCTCTAGTTTAATTTATAATGCTGATGTTATATTCTTTAAATAAGCTTCTGGTGATATGCTCGGTGTAATGCTTACTCTCACACCTTCATCCTTGCATGTTGTCTGAAGCTTCTCATCTGCTAGTTTGTGTACATAACTTTTTCTCTTCTATCTATTCTGCCCCCTCTTCTGTGTTCCCTCACTCATTGTACATCTTGCTTGCTACTTCCTCCTCACCTCCACCATTCAGTACCAAGAGGTGTCATGGATTGTAAACGTGGCACCGCCGCTCACAGCGGGAACCACCGCAGGGGTCACGCAGTTTCAACCTTCCAACCAGCATTAATAACACTCAAAATGAAACAGCAATTTGGAGGGGTAAGGGTAAAATAATGCTTAACCAGAGATTAGTTTTCTGGTGTTGATGGAAATATACTGGGAAGATGTGGCGGTGTATGGCAGTGTATTGCAGCAGCCACGTCGGCGTGTGTAGTGTAGTGTCAAGTGAACTGTTGGTGAAGGTGGCTGTCTGTCTGGCTGCCTCAACCTACACACTTACTACACAACAAACTATTACCTCACATCATCTCTCTCTACCATGGGCTTTGGCGGTAAAGGTAAATTTGTCGTCTAGGATAAGGTAGTGTAATTGGTGGTAAATTTTAGTGCTGTTTGAGGTGTTATAAGAGGTCATATGCTTCTAGTATATATAGAGATGTGTATGCTCAGTCATATACGGAAACTTTTTAATTTTAACGATCAGAATATAGTGTACAGGTGAACTGCGGCCTAAATGAACGTTTCCCAGTCAATAGGCCTTAAACCTAATTAATTATTTGTGGATTTTTTTTTCATAGCTACACCCATCAGCTGACCTCAAGTTGACCTGACCTTAAAAGGGTGTGTCGTGTTTTTTAACCAGACATTCCGAACTTCCTTTATAAAGCTATGATTCTTGTTACAAAACAAACATATATTTGTATTAAAATCGTGAAAATCCAGGAGCACGAAATCAGTTAATTTAGTATATAATAAATTTAGGCAGACCTTCGCTTGTGTTTTTCCCAGGGCAGAAATCTTTTAATCTTTCATTTTATCATTAACATCCTTGCTATTCTGTTATGACCCTAGCGGGTTTAGTGCTTAGTTATGATTGCAGTAGTAGTAGTAGTAATAATAATATTATTATTATAATAATAATATAATAACCATTCCATGGGAAAAAAATGTGGAAATTGTTGATTTAGGTGATATTAATGATATTTATTTTGCCTAATTTATATTTTTTATTGCGTAAGTATTACACTGGCAACAGTTACATTTTGGACAAATACGCAAGAGGCTTTTTGATTAATTAAATTGAAAAGTAACTTACTTAATAATCCCACTAACCCTAACTTAGACCAGCCTTACAATTGATGGTTAAGTAACACTAGGTTAGGTTATACAAAAAAATGTATTTCTTCATCAGTAAATCAAAATTATAAATATATAAATTATATATAATAGTATTTATAGTGCATGTTAGGTTCATTCTTATGTAAACATAAATCTACAAGGAAATCGGGAACTATTTGCAAAGAAAAAATCAGCCTGAGACTTGTAGCAATAAGGTACAACACACTACTCGAATTACTATACCGGAATAATAATCATAATTATTTATTTCAACCATCGGCCATAATCTTGATCATTATGATTGTCATCTTGTAGAAGCCTTAAATTCGTTAGTCATACGTCGCTTTTGGCAGTCAGGTTTGATTCAAGGAAGAGGATGGCTCCAGCTACTCGTATCAAAAGCGTATCACCAGCATCAATGCAGTCTTGAAAAAGTTTGGTGATTGTGGGCAGCCATGAAGGAGAGTTGCTTCCCTAATGACTCAATTCATTGATTGCTTGAACTAGCACACTAACTTCTCTGTTATGTGGGTTCAAAGTTAGGGTTCAGGATACGCTCAGTGCACCATAGTAAGCCCAGTTATAAAACCAGTACACTATAATGAGCCCAGTTATAGAGCACATTCTCCCCACCAAGAGGAATGCACAGTCAAAATTCAACAGTAACTATTTTTCCTGGGTCACCTCGATGCCAGACATCCAGGCCAGCTTTTGTAATTTGCTTATTTATATTTAATGTAAGTTTTTATAGGTTTGTTACCTAACTCAATAATTTAACCCTCGTCTTAACTCCTGAAAGACAGAATTAGTGGAATATAACTGAACTGGAAAACAGGAATAAAGGGGATATAAATGACGTGCTAAAAGAATTTAACTAGGACAGGATTTGCAGCAATGGATTAAAGTTGGACGAATATAGATTTATAAATGTTATAAATGTTAAACCTAAAACCCAATCTAACTTTATTATTTTTTAAATACACTACCTAACAGAATCACTACCTAACTGAATGCAACCATATGACCTGTCTTTGTAATACTCACTTGTGCTTTATAGTTATCTGTTTACATTAATGTTTTATCACTGATTTCATCATTGCTTAGTAGCAGCGCTGTATAGTCCTTGTGGCTTAGCGCTTCTTTTTGATTATAATAATAATAATAATCATTGCTTAGTTAATCTTAAGTTAATTTTAAGCCAGCCCGTAATGCTATGCATAGTATAAGTGGCTTTGGCATACTGCTCTTATCTGTATTTTTTTTGTACCTCTGTATGTGTGCACAAATTGGAAATAAATAAATAAATAAATAAATAAATAAAGGATATGGCTTTATGACCCTAGTGGGTTTAGCGTTTGGTTTTGATTATTAAAACATACAGAAAAGTAGCAGTTGTAGTTGTAAAATTTAAAACTACGACCTAGTAGCGCCATTGAAGCAAGAACTGAACGTAACATACCCCTTTTAAGTTATTTGACGTCACGTCAAAATGAAAAGGAAATTAATTTGCATTAGCCTAATCCAAAAATTTTTTTTCACAGGCTTAGATTAGGTAGAAATCAAGAACCAGAAATTCGTGTGAAAACACGCGTCATAAAGGGCAAAATGCTGTAACACTTGTTGCCTTTGTGACTTTCTAGGATGATGCTACTTCAAGGTGATGAAACATTTCCATTCACCAGCATCACGCAGATTAATGGTGAAACGTTCTTCACCAAAGCAATTGAATTTACCTTTTCCCTTCCTTGATTCTAACTCGAAATACTACTCACTTTCCTAAGATCCTTGCTAGTGTAGCACTTAACCATAAATATGATAGGGATTATAATAGTAAAATATACATAGGTGGATTCTACGTGCAACTAATTGTTTATGAATTAAGAAGAATGGGTGCGTGACTCCCTCTCAGCCCAATAATATGCATTTATATAAAATTATAGAGCATGCAACAAACTACTGTATCGTGTTCATCTCCACTATATTTATGATCCTACTATTTGTAGAATTATCGCTACGTTAGTGAAGATAAACTATTCGCATCTGCAATTTATGCCGGTCTGTCATACATCTTTGGCTGTTCACTCACTCTTCCCGTACTCTTCTCCTTCAATCCGTTTAGCGCTTCTTTTTGATTATAATAATCTCCCTCTATCATGGTAAGTCTAGTGCTTAAGTCTTTCCTGGGTTTTATTTCATTATCGGAGTTGCGGCTCTACTATGGGCTAGCGCTGCCTCTCGTGAAGTAGGAGACGAAGCTATCTTTTTTTTTCTTGATCGCGTGATCCAAGGACGACTGCTGGAGATTGCCACTATTATTATAATGTGCAATTCTAGCTACCATCATAGCAAACCTACCATGTCCGCCTCGTATGCTCTAGCTTCATACACCCAAAATGCCTTACAAGCGACCCAAGGATTTGGTTCCTTTCATCCCATTGTCCTTTGCATTCAACACTGGTTATAGTTCTTTACTAGGGCTGAGGCCACTGTTGTTAAGTCTTTGCTCTGCATTCAGGGCCCTTAAGGAGCACGTACGTAAGTTCGCATTTACTTTGTTTTGTAATCTATCTGAAGTAAGGTGAAATCTAGGATCTATCTTTAAGTCATGATATAACTTAACAAATCTTTGATGACAATTGTTCCACAATTGTCATCAAAGATTTGTAAAGTTATACCATGAATTAATTAACCTTACGAAACAAAGGAAATGAAGTAGTAATTATGGGCAAGGTAGATCATAGCGGAAAAATGAACACATTATTAGTAGACCGGGAAAGTTGCGTGCCTCTTAAATTTTCTGTAAAGGTGTTTGTTCTTTTCCAACTGTAAAATTAAACTCCTTCGAGCAAGTTTTAATAGATTTAAATCGTAGTAGGTTCTTGGCGTTCTTTATTTACATTGTGACAAGAATGAGACACGTACAGAGAGTAGTAGTCAACAGAGTAAAGTCCGAGGCAGCTACGGTGAAAAGCTCTGTTCCACAAGGCACAGTACTTGCTCCCATCTTGTTCCTCATTCTCATATCTGACATAGACAAGGATGTCAGCCACAGCACCGTGTCTTCCTTTGCAGATGACACCCGAATCTGCATGACAGTGTCTTCCATTGCAGACACTGCAAGGCTCCAGGCGGACATCAACCAAATCTTTCAGTGGGCTGCAGAAAACAATATGAAGTTTAACGATGAGAAATTTCAATTAATCAGATATGGCGAACACGAGGAAATTAAATCTTCATCAGAGTACAAAACAAATTCTGGCCACAAAATAGAGCGAAACACCAACGTCAAAGACCTGGGAGTGATCATGTCGGAGGATCTCACCTTCAAGGACCATAACATTGTATCAATCGCATCTGCTAGAAAAATGACAGGATGGATAATGAGAACCTTCAAAACTAGGGATGCCAAGCCCACGATGACACTCTTCAGGTGACTTGTTCTATCTAGGCTGGAATATTGCTGCACACTAACAGCACCTTTCAAGGCAGGTGAAATTGCTGACCTAGAAAATGTACAGAGAACCTTCACGGCACTAATAACGGAGATAAAACACCTCAATTACTGGGAGCGCTTGAGGTTCCTGAACCTGTATTCCCTGGAACGCAGGCGGGAGAGATACATGATTATATACACCTGGAAAATCCTAGAGGGACTAGTACCGAACTTGCACACGAAAATCACTCACTACAAAAGCAAAAGACTTGGCAGACGATGCAACATCCCTCCAATAAAAAGCAGGGGTGTCACTAGCACGTTAAGAGACCATACAATAAGTGTCAGGGGCCCAAGACTGTTCAACTGCCTCCCAGCATACATAAGGGGGATTACCAACAGACCCCTAGCAGTCTTCAAGCTGGCACTGGACAAGCACCTAAAGTCGGTTCCTGACCAGCCTGGCTGTGGCGCGTACGTTGGTTTGCGTGCAGCCAACAGTAACAGCCTGGTTGATCAGGCTCTGATCCACCAGGAGGCCTGGTCACAGACCGGGCCGCGGGGGCGTTGACCCCCGGAACTCTCTCCAGGTAAACGTTTCGCCAGCCAGTGGCTTCTTCAGTCCAATACAAAGAACGGTGGAAGATGAGCTTGAGGTAATCAGTCCCTCAGCCTGGAGCTGATGTATTCAGTCCGTTCTTTGTATTGGATTGAAGCCACTGGTGGGCGAAACGTTTCCTCAGTAAAGATTCCCAAATGTTGCGTGTCTTATTCTTTAAATGGTTT